CCTCCTCCTCTTCCCCCTCCACTTCCTCCACCTCCACATCCCCCTCCTCCTTCTCCTCCTCCTCCTCCTGTTCCCCCCTTCGGCCCCACGCATTCGCGCGCCGCCACAAGCGCTTCAGCGGGTCTCGAGCGCACGACTTGTACTTGAAAGTGCCACTCTGGTGGGAACGCGCGAACCTCGAACTCATTCAGCGGGCCTCACCTGTGTTGCCTGGATGGATCGCAGATAGATCGCTTCAAGCGCCCATGACGACCTCGAGACGGCGAGTGGGGCCTTCCAAGGGAGCCCCAAACATGCCAAAACGTCAAATGCCGCATGGACAACGCTTCCTCTTTGTATACGCGCCTGAAAGCTTTCACAGCGTCACAGACACACCCAGAAACTTCCACGACCGCCCCAGGACGTCCCAAGAAGCACCTAGCAGGACCCAACACCGCCCACGAAACTCAAGAGGCCCGAGAAGCACCCACAACGGCACCAAGATGGCCCCAAGAAAGGGATTTCGAAATGACATGTCGCGCTTTTCCAACCCACAGGAACCTCCGATGCCGCCCACCGCTCTCGAAGACTTTCCCTATGTGCTACCCAACAACAAAAGTGCTCACAGGAGAGCCCTAAGTGACCCCGATCATGTACACCGTGTTTGTCCACGAAGTTGCCCATGTCACCCTTGCAAGCTCTCGACGACCTCTCGCACCCAGAGAAACCTCCTGTACTAGTCCAAAGACACCCTGAGACCACCCAAGACAACCGAAGATGGCGCCCAAAACGAAGCCTGCGGAAGACTCCGACACCACCAGACTAGCACCTAAAACGGCCAGCATGCCCCATCATCGGGCCCTGGCCCCAACCGAGGAGTCGGCGAATGTGGCGTAAGCCTGTAGAGTCTAGGTGGTGCAACTTATGTGGTGCAATCTATGTGGAGCAAGGGAACGCAAAACACTGTACAGCAATTACCCGCATCACAAAGCAACGCAAAGCAATGCAACGCACATCAACGCAACACAATTCACTGCGATTGCAATTGCATCGCAATGCAAAGCAGTCCAACGCAATACGAACAAATACACAGCAACGCAGTTCAATGCAAAGCAATGCACAGCCATGCAAAGCAATGCACAGCAATGCAACGCAATGCGATTGCAGTGCCATGCGACGCAGTGCAAGTCAATGCAAAGCAATGCAATGCAACGCAAAATAAACCAGTGACAAACAATTCAATGCGATTGCAAAATAATGCGAACCACTTCAACGCACTGCGGATCAATGCGAAGCAAGGCGAAGCAATGCGAAATAATGGAAACCAGCGCGAACCAGTGCAAAGCAATGCGAAGCAGACCAACGCAAAGCAGTGCAGAGCAATACGAACCGATGCAAAATGCGAGCTGCGCACCATCATCATCATCATCATCATCATCATCATCATCATCATCATCACCATCATCATCATCATCAACATCGTCATCATCATCATCCTCATCAGCCTCATCATCCTCATCATCCTCATCATCCTCATCCTCATCATCCTCATGATCCTCATCATCCTCATGATCCTCATCCTCATCATCCTCATCCTCATCATCACCATCCTCATCATCACCATCACCATCACCATCATCATCATCATCTTCATCATCCTCATCATCCTCATTATCCTCATCATCCTCATCCTCATCATCACCATCCTCATCATCACCATCACCATCACCATCACCATCACCATCATCATCATCATCATCATCCTCATCATCCTCATCATCCTCATCATCCTCATCATCCTCATCATCATCATCCTCATCCTCATCATCACCATCGTCATCATCCTCAGCATCCTCATCATCCTCATCATCCTCATCCTCATCATCCTCATCATCCTCATCATCCTCGTCATCACCATCACCATCACCATCATCATCATCATCATCATCATCATCATCAGCACCACCATCTCATCCTCGTGGCCGCGGGCGGCGGCCACGGGCGGCCACGAGCTGGCCAGACCTGCCACCGTGCCCCGCCCCGCAGAAGCGAAGCAGGAACCCGCGGGCACGAGCACTGCTTTGGGGAACGTCTTCCAAGCGACAATTTGCCGAGCCTCGTGAATTCAGGGCTCGAGTTAAACAGTGCTTTCCGTTCTCGTTTTGCTTTCGTCATCCCTGGCTCTGTCTTCGCTCCACGTTTGCTGCAAAACGAAGTCAAAACGAAAACGGTCCACGAAATTGCCAAAACACCGTTTAGCTCGATTCCTGCGTGCATTTCCGCGCGCACACTTCCACGCCATCACCCGCACCAGCGCCGCCGCATCCGGTCATCGTCACCGACAATCGCCGCCATGGCCGCCATCATCACCCAAATCGCCCTCATCACCGACACATGGACATCGTCATTGTCATCGTCGTCACCAGCATCGGCACCGTCACTGGCCTTGCCGTCGTCATCTTCATCATCGCCACCACCATCGCTACAATCATCGTTGCCGCCGTTGTCCACGTTATCACGATACTGTGCCCGCCCGAGTTACCGACCCGTATTGAAGTGCCCGCGCGCCAGCGCGGACTTTGAGACGCGCCAGGCAGTTGCCAACGGTAAGCGTCATCGCGGCCGCATCGGTTGTACCAAACCACCTGGTTGCTCTGTGCGCGAGCTTGCGCGCGCCAGCGCGGCCGCGGAGATGCGCCAGCCAGGGCGGGTTTTGCAAAACAAATTGCGAGTGGGAGGGTGGGATGGTTGCTCGAGCACCAGAGTTGACAACTCATGAGTTGGCAACAGTTAGTTCTCCTTTCTAAATGGAGAATAAACTCTATCCCCCCCGGAATTATCCGTTCCCCTTTCGGGTATGTAAATCATATATGATTATGACCACTCGTCCATCCTAAATATGAAATCATACCATCCCAGCCAGGCCGGGTCCCCCCCCCCTGAGGTTCCCTGGTAAAAAAAAAAACACTATGCGGTGACATCTTTTGTTCTAACATAGCACTTTTTTTCACGAATCCCTTGCAACAGTGGGACGAAGTGCACACGCGCGCGTCGTCGCGCGCGCATGCCGAACTCCTTCAAAAACCTTCGGTGCCAGAAGGATTTCGCAATCGAGTTTCCAAACAAGCATACAAAAAACATAGGGTTTCGCAACACTGATTTGCTAAACAAGCTTCCGCGCGAGCTCTTGCGAAATCTTAAGAAAACCACAGGTTTTTCAAGATTTTCACACAATGCTACCAAACGGGCTTCGCGCGCGCGCATGTCGAAATCTGTCGAACGCTCGTGCGCGTGTGCCATCGCGAGAATCCTCTGCAAAAAACGGGACGAAGTGCAGACGCGCGCGTCGTCGCGGGCGTATGCCGAAAACCTTCAAAACCCATCGGTTTCGGAAGGATTTCAAAATCGTGCGTCCAAAAAACCTACAAAAACCTAAGGTTTCGCAGCACGGATTTTCAACAAAAGCGTGCGCGCGCGCGCGCTCTTGCGTCGTCGTCGTCGTCGTCGTCGTCGTCGTCGTCGCCGTCCTCCCTCCTCCCGCGTCGTCGTCGTCGTCGTCGTCGCCTACGTCGTCCTCTGTCTTTTCTCGTGTTCGTCGTCGTCGTCCTCTTTGGCGTCGTGGTCGTTTCCGTCGTCGTTGTCGCCGTGGTCGTCCGTCCTCCTCCTCTCACGTCCTCGTCGTCGTCCGTCGTCGGCGTCTCGTCGTCTGTTCTATTTCGTCACCGTCGTCGTCGTCGTCGTCGTTGTCGTCGTCGTCTTCCCTCCTCCCTCGTCGTTGTCGTCGTCGGCGTCGCCGTCCTTCCTCCTTCGTCGTCGTTCGCGTCGTCGCCGTCCTCCCTCCTCCCTCGTCGTTGTCGTCGTTGTCGTCGTCCTTCCTCCTCCCTCGTCGTCGCGTTCGTTGGCGTCGTCGTCGTCGTCGTCGTCTTCGTCGTCGGCGTCGGCGTCGTTGTCGTCGTCGAAGTCGTCGGAGGCGTCGTCGGTGTCGTCGTCGTCGTTGTCGTCGTAGTCGGTCTTAAGAGGTTTTGCAAACCAAGTTGCGGGTGGGAGGGTGGGATGTTTGCGCGAGCAGTGGAGAGGACAGCTTCAAGTTGAGCAAGTGATTGGTTGCACTGCATCAACTGCACCACAACTGTCGCACCAAACATATTGAAGCACATACCTTGCTCCGCCTCGACTGAGTCTAAAACCTCTGTGTGTACATCTTGCATCACGTAGAAATCACTCACAACATACTTGGCACCACGTAGAGTGCACTCCATATATTTCAACACCAGGTGTGCCTCACAGCTTGCACCACATGGCTTGCGCATTATATATATATATAGATATATGGCACTATACAGATTGCACCATATGTTTTTTTTGTCCGAAACAATAGAGAACACTGCATGCCCTTGACATCGATCGTGCAAGAAACCGCTGCTATCTATCAATCTACATACTTTTTGATCTGCAGGGCGAGAGCGAACCTCTTCCGCTGACAGCTAAGCGGGACGCGCACAGCTTTAACTAGCAGCTCAATATACATACACGTATCCTCCTTTCTTCCCCGCTCCCCCTCCTCCTTCTCCCTTTGTTTTCCTTCTTTTCCATCCTCTCCTCGCCCTCAACCTGATCGGCGAAGCGTGGCCGCTGCAGGAGGCCTCGGCGCATCCCGACACCCCTTCATGACTGCCCACAGGCTGCTCGTGCATAACCGAAGCGACCAAATCGGACCCCGTGCCTGGCGGCGGGTAGCCGCCCATGGGGGGGTGCGTAATCCAACGATGCCGCGCGCTGACATCGGCACGCACCACCGAATCGAGCGAATCGTGGACAGCCCCCTGCCCCCGAGAGTATCATCAGCCCCCCCCGCGCCCAGTGAGAGAGCGTCCGCAGGTCACCGCACCCTTGGGAAAGGCTAAGTTCAGTTGGAGGCCCAGGAGATAGAGCACCTTGGCTCCACCTGGACCTGCTCCAACTGGACTTAGCGGCGCCCGAGCACCCCGAGCCGAAGCGGCGCCAGGGACGGTGGAGGACGCCTACTGCCGAGGCGGGCTCGCCGAAGAGGCCCTCCGCGGCGGACGGGCGCTGGGTGCCGAGGGCCTCCTGGCGCAGGCTGGCGAACTCCTCGAGCTCTCTGCGCCTGCGCGGCCGAGGGGGCGGGCTCGGGCGCGGGTCCGGCGCGGTCGCGCGTCCCAACGGCGTAGAAGAAGAAAACACACGACATAAACATGAGTTTTCGAAGGTCCGCGCGGATGTCATGGATCTGCGCTGAAACCCCGTCCCTGGCGCGCGGAGCTCCTAAACTTTCGAAGGCTCCGCGTGCCATGGAGGGGGGTTCAGCGCAGATCCACGAAATCCGCGCGGACCTCCGAACATGTATGTTTATGTTTATTTTCTTCCTCTATGGTAGGTGGCGTCGCTTTTTCCTCCGCGGCCGCCCCCCGCCCGGCTACTTAGGGCCTCACGCTACTGCCCTGGGGGTGCTGCTTCAGCATAGCTGCTGAAGTGTCGCTGGTCTCTCTTTTTCCCCACATCCTAAGTGGGGTTCTTGTTTTCTCTGGACACCCCGCACAGTCCTCCCACCTCACCCTCTCTCCTCTTCTCTCTTCGCACACTCACTCACACAATCGCTCACGCACCATCATCATCATAACAACTTCAGCTTCTTCTCCCTTCGCACACTCACTCACTCAATCATTCACACTGTCATCATCAGCCACACACTCACCACACACGATCACTCTATCACGCACTCAATCATTCACACACCATCATCAATCACAGTCACTCACTCACCCACTCACCCACCCATTCACTCACACACGCTATCATCATCACCATCGTCGTCATCACTCACACACTCATTCACGAGTCATCATCATCATCATCACTCACCCACTCACCCACCTACCCACCCACTCAGTCACACACACACACGCAGCATCATCATCATCATCATCATCATCATCATCATCATCAACATCATCATCCTCACTCGCTCACTCATTCACACAATCGCTCGCTCACTCACACCAGCACTTGAGGAAATATCAGGCGGGAGCCCCGTGTGTGAATTGCGAAGAAATCTCAGGCGGGAGCACCCTCCCTATGGGGCCCGCAGTTCATGTTATTAATCCGAACGGGTCATCGGGATCCTGTAACTGTCGTCACTTTTGGGCCCCTGGGGCCTGAATATGGAAACAGTATCAGACGGGAGCCTCGTCTGTGAGTGAATTTCGAGGAACGTCTCAGGCGGGAGGGGCCCGCAGCTAATGCTACCAATCCGAGCGGGTCATCCGATTCCTATACATGTCATTACTTTTGGCCTCCTCCAGCTTTGACATGGAGGAAGTCTCAGGCGGGAGCCTAGTTCGTGAGTAAGATGCAAGGAAATCTTAGGCGGGAGCACCTCGCTATGGGGCCCGCAGCTCATGTTACTAATCCGAGTGGGCCATCGCAATCCTGTCACTGTCGTCACTTTTGGGCCCCTGAGGCGTGACTACGGGGGAATTATCAGGCGGGAACTTCGTCTGTGAGTGAGCTGCGAAGAAAATCTCAGGCGGGAGCCTCCCCCATATGGGGCCCACAGCCAATGTTACTAATCCGAGCGGTTCGCCCGAATCCTATAATTGTCGTCACTTTTGGCCTCTTCAAGCTTTAGCATGGAGAAAGTCTCAGGCGGGAGCCCCCCTCCCTATGGAACCCGCAGCTCATGTTACTAGTCCGAACGGGTCATCGGCATCCTCCATCAATTGTCACTTTTGGGCCCCTGAGGCGTGACTACGGGGGTATCAGGCGGGAGCTTCGTCTGTGAGTGGACTGTGAGGAAGTCTCAGGCGGGAGCCCCCCTCCCTGTGGGGCCCGCAGCTCATGTTACTAATCCGAGCGGCTCATCCGAATATTGTAGCTGTCGTCATGTTTGGCCCCTTCGAGCTTGCATATGGAGGCAATCTCAAGCGGGAGCCCCTTCCATATGGGGACCGCAGCTCATGTTGCTAAACCGAGCGGGTCATCGGAATCCTATGGCTGTCGTCACTTTGGGGCTCCTGATGCCCGAGTATGAAGGAAGTTTCAGGCGGGAGCCTCGTTTGTGAATTCCGAGGACGTCTCAGGCGGGAACCCTTCCCTATGGAGCCCGCAGCTCATGTTATTAATCCGAACGGGTCATCGGAATCCTCCATCTATCGTCACTCTAGGCATCTGCCAGCTTGGGCACGGAGGATGTCTTAGGCGGGAGCCTCGTCTGTGAGTGCATTGCGAGGAAGTCTCGGGCGTGAGCCCCCTCCCTATGTGGCCCGCAGCTCATGTTACTAATCCGAGCGGGCCATCGCAATCCTGCAGCTGTCGCAACTTCTGGGTTCCCGAACGCGGCCGCGTCGAGCCCGGTGCCTGCGGGGTTGTCCCGACGGCTCGCTTCCGAGCCCCAACGGCTCGGGGGGTTGTCCCAACGGCCTGGCCCGCTGGGTTGCCTCCGACAACTTCGCGATTTCGCCGTCGGGGAGCGCGCTCCTGCAGGGCGTGGCGGCGAGGGCACCGAGGAACATGTACACGCGCGCCCCTGCCAGGAAGAAGGAAAGGTGCACGAGGAGAACAGGCGGGGTGGAGATGAGGAGGGGGAACAGGGGGAGGAGGTGGAGGAGGAGAGGGACAAGGACGAGGAGGAGGAATTTGATGAGGAGAGGGAGGAAGAGGAAGAGGTGGGGGAGGAGGAGGAGGAGGAGGAGAAGGAGGAGGAGGAGGAGGAGGAGGAGGAGGAGGAGGCGGAAGAGGAACATGATAAGAAATGCAACGAGTAGGACGAGAAGGAACACAAGGAGAATAATGAGGAGAAGGAGGAGGAGGATGAGGACGCAGATGGCGGAAGGAAGGCCTCCGCCAGGTGTGCCTCCGCCAGTCGAAGAAGAAAAGGACGAGGGGCAAGCTACACATATTCTCATATGGGGTCTTACCGTCGAGTAAATATTGTTTTTCTCTCTCGTTCTCTCTCTCTCTATCTCTCTCTCTCTCGAGTGCTTTCGCTCTCCTGGGGTGTCGCACTCCTCCGCCGTCATTATCCTTCGCATTGTTTTCCACGCTCCTCCTCGGCTTTCTCTTCCTTATCCTCGTGGCGATGGCCCCGTTCTTGGAGGGTTCGGCGGGTGCCCGACCTGAGTATGACCCATGGATGCTGCCTTGCCCGTGGCAGCAAGCTGGCGGCGAAGGATGAGGACGAGGGGGGTAGGAGGCTGAGGAAGAGGAGGAGGACAATGACGAGGAGGATCCCCCTTCAATCAACCTGCGCGCTTTTCGATTCGTCGGGTGCGGCCAAACATTCCCGACAACTCACTCTGCACGCAACGCCCGCTCGCATGACGACAGACCAGAGCCTGCCTGGGCAGATTGTTCGGATGTCTCTCCGTGGGGTGGGGGTGTGGGGGGGGTCGGATAAAGACCTTGCAAACGTAAGGAAGGTGAGACGTCTTCGTCACAGTGTGATGAAAACTCTTGCTTGTTTCGTAGCAGGCCTTCATAACTCCTCCCTGCCTTTCAGGAATCCGATGAGTGGGAATTGCCACGTGCAGTCGATCGGATCAGTAAATACTGCAATCTCCGGTCTTTCGATCGGTATCAGGCCTGTGGGCCCGCTTGACCATGCACCGACGTGTGCTCTATCCATGTATCCACCATCAAGTACCCATGAAACAACACACGAACCAATTGACCAACCGATCAGTAAATCAGCCGATGGGGTGAGCCACTGATGCGCCGTCGCCGCTCCCCCCCCTTTCCCTGGGCCGTCGTCCTTGAGCGCGCCAACCAAAGCAGAGCAGCCTAAGCGAAATTGAGCAACGTCGTCATTGATTCGAAAGGAAGCACTTTCCCTTTGATCCCTTCCACGCATGGGGCGGAGGTCCGAGGGGGTGCAGGGGGGTCCGGGGGTGTGGTCCAGGGTCAGAATACCCCCCCAGGGGGTCCCTTGGAGGCCCCCAAGAAGCCCTGAAGAGGGCCTCAGGCGCCCCAAGGAACCGCCAAGAAGCTCCAGGAGGCTCCCAAAAGGCTCCCAATACACCCCCAAAGCTTCCCCCAACATGCTCCTGAGAGCGCTCCAAAGGAACTTCAAGCTTCAAGAAACATCCGGGCATCCTCCTGGGGGGGTGGCATTCTGACATGGGACCCGCCTGGGATCCCCCCAATCCTACGCCTCCTCCCAAAAGGCTTGTAAAACACCACCAGAAATTCGTGGGGGTTCTTGGGCACCCCGTGGGGGCCTCGTGTAGCCTCTTGGCACTCTTGGGAGCGTCTGATACCGACCTTCCTGAATGCCTCTTCCATCGTGGGGGTCAGGGTCGCTGGCACGGGCCTGAAGGTTTTAGCAGTCAGCAGATGGGGTTAGCCACTGTTGTGCTCGATTACGTGGGCGTTGAGCTTCGATGAATGGCGGTACGAGAGAGGAACATGGCAACACTCATGCTTGCAACAATTGACAGCACGGGGGCATCTCCTCGCCACGCCCTGCTTGCTGCCCTGGTTCCTGGCCGCGTTCGCGCTGTCCGCAGCGAAGTGCGGATCGTGCCGCTGGCCCACCTCTGGCGGGGTGGCGGCCATACGTGATCGTCTCGCTTTTACTTCCGCCGCCTTCCGCCAAGGGAACCGCCGCCGCATCACTTCTGCGGGCTTCCGCTAAGACGCGCCGAAGGTAAGGCCCTTTCCAGACCGCTCTGCATGGTGGGGGATCGGCGCGGTCGAGGGGCCCCGCACAGGGGCCCAGAGAGGCGGGGGCAACGCCTGCCTCCGGTGGCAGGCGGGTTCCGGAACCCCCATGCATCCCGGGTAATCGTCATCTTTTGGAAAACGGATCTTTACTTCTACTGGCCTACTCGGCTTCACGCACGAGTGACCCTGGGCAAGAGCGACCTTTGGTGCGCGGCTCAGGGGCCCGTTGGGGACACCACTGGGCGCGCAAGCCGCTGCTATCGCATCGCGTTCGGAGATCCGGGGGCCCCGTTGGGCCCGCACCAGAGGTCACTCCGGCGAAAGGTCACTCCTACGTGTAGCCGACCTTCTGCCGGCGGAGCGGGCCGCGCTTTACTTCCGCCAGCCTCCCACCGCCCTCTCGCCTTCCGCTCAGTGAGAGATCACGCGCCGAACACGGGCGGAGGCCGGCGGGGGCGCAAGGGCGCCGCAGGGGCCTCCGCGCCCCGCGACGCTTTTTGCGGCGGCAGGCGCAGCCTGGGCCCCCCCGGGGGATGCTCCACTGCTCCACCACGGGGCACCAGTTGCCGCCCGCCTCCCCCAGGGGAGCGCCCTGGCCTCGACTTGGAGCAGAGCTGCCTCCGCGGCTCCGAGGCTGCTCCGAGAGCCGCTGCCGGCACCGCCCAGCCACTCCGCCAGCCTGCACCGCTACCACAGTTCGGCCGCCGCCACTGGCCTCGAGTCGCCTCTGGCCATTCCCTATTGCCCTGTATCCTAGGCTGTTCCTCCGACTGCGCGCCCTCTCGCCGCTCCCTTGGTGGAGGGCAGCCGCAAGAACCCAACGCGCGAAGCGCGACGATCTTCGCGCCCCCCGCGGGTGCGCTGGGCACCGCCGAGGGCCCCAACAGCCCCGACTGGCTCCCGAACGGCCCCGTTTGGCCCTGCTGTGCCAGTGGTGCTGGCATTTGACGCCAAGGCACTTGGAGAAGGGCGATTTTTTTTTGTTTTATTTATTTTTTTTTTTTTTAATTTTTTTTGTTTTTTGCCAGAGCAATCCTCGCGGCCATGCTTGGTTCATATATCCTCTGGTGTGATGTGGCCTGATCACCACGAAGCCTGCCTGGTCAATCTATACCCTCTGGTGCGGTCACAACGAAACACGGCAACTTCACACCGATCCGCGGCGGACCCCTCCCCTGAGCAACACGCACCAGGTCTTCCGAGCTGCGCCCAGGCGTGGCCACGAGGGGACCCCCGAAGGCCAACCTCCGAGTGCCTCGACCCGCCCTTGTGCGAGGCACTCGGCAGCCCCGGCGGGCCCCGCGGCCCGGCTGCGCCGACGGAGGGGCACCGCCGCCGCGGCGGGCCGCCCGCCTCGACGAGGCCCGCTGGCGCCGTTCCAGGGAGGGCCTCGCCAGCGGCGCGTCTCGCTCCCGGCGGAGCGCGGCGGAAACAGATCAGCGGCGCGTGCGCCGGCGGAACTCCGGCGGAAGCCAGCCGAGTGTACAGATGAGGCATCGACGTTTTTGAGCTAGAGGTTTCTGGAGTCGGCCATGTGGGAGTCCTGAGGAGCTGTCGCCTTATATATATATATATATATATATATAGTGCCATATTTTCTGCGTCTGGCATTCGCCACACTGCGATCCAATACAGCGCCCCTTCGTTCTCATGCGTGGTGGCGGATCGGTCAGGCCTGCTGACACATGGACATGTAGCTCGGCGAGAGCGCGTTTCGCGGGCGCTTGCCTCGGGATCGTTCGGCGGCGCGTTTCGAACGGGGGGGTCGGCCCAGCCCCCAACACTCGGCGCCGTGGATCAGAAACCACGACGGCGCCGTGCTCCTGTGGATCAGAACCAGGGGACATCCCCTCCCCCTAACACACAGCCCCCTCCCGATACCCCACCACCCCCCCCCCCCCCACCCCCCCATCCAAGGGGGTGGCCCAAGGGGGTGTGGGGTTCCAACCCCCCCCCACCGGCGTCGGCGCCGGCGCTGGCTGGCCCGCCCGCAGCGCAACGCAGCGACGATGACCAGAGAGGGCCCAGGAGGGGGGGGTTCAAACCTCCCTCGCCCCCCACCCCCCGCCCCGGCGCCGGCGCCGGCGCCGGCGCTGGCGGCGGCCAGCAGCGCCGACGGCGGGGACGCAGCGACGATGACCAGAGGGGGCCCAGAGGCCGCAGAGGGAACACACAAATCGCCACATCGAGCCCTCGCATGCTCCTCAGACGCAGGAGGAGAGACCCCACCCTTTCTGACGAGGACCTTAAGAGGAATCCATTCTGAACTTCTGACCAATTAGTTCAAAACACTAGTGGGGGAATGGGAGGAGAAAAAGAGAAAGAAGCCGAACGAAAGAAACGAAGCCGGACCCGCGACGAAAAGCAAGCCCAAAGGTCCACCACACCACCACCACCAGCACCAGCACCAGCACCACAGACCACCGTACCACCATTACCACCACCACCACCACCACCACCACCACCGTTACCACCGTTACCACCACAACAACCACCACGACCCACCATCACCACAACCACCACCATCACCACAAACCACCTCACCTCACCTCACCACCACCACCACCACCACCACCACCAAAAACGCTACCACTACCAGCACCACCACAACCCACCACAAACACTACCACCACAAACCACCACAACCCACCACACCATTACCACCACCATCACCACCACCGCCATCACCACCACCATCACCACAACCTACCACCAACACCACCACCACCACAAACCACCATACCACCACCACAACCACCAACACCACCACCTCCACCACCACCACCACCCACCACCCACCACCCACCACCAACCACCACCACCAGCACCCACTACCAGCGCAGCGAGCAGCAAGAGCAAGCCAGAGCGAGCAAGGCTAGCAACCAACAGCCACCACCAGCACCACTACCAGCAGCAGCACCACCACCACCACCACCACCAGCATCACAGCCCACCACCACCACCACCACAAACCACCACGCCACCACCACCGCCACCGCCACCACCACGACCACCACCATCACCACCTCAACCCACCACCACCACCATCACCACCACCAAACCACCACACAACCATCGCCACCACAGCCACCACCACCACCTCCACAACAGCTCACCACCACCACAACCAATACAACAACCCATAACCACTACCACCACCACCGCAATCTACCCCACCACCACCGCCACCGCCACTACCACCACCACCAGCACCCCCGCTGCCGCCGCCAGCCGCCGGTGACGCCAGCGCCCGCCCGAGGAGAGGGAGAGAGGAGAAGTAGGGGAGGGGGGGGGTCTGGCCCCCCCCCCCTCCAAGCGACCACAGAACACGCTCTTTCGTAGCTCGTGGTTTGCGAATCTGGCAACACCATCGCAATGCCAGCATCCTCGATTCGTGCTGGTCGAAAGACATGCGCGAAGTAAGCTTCCAATGCAAATGCTCTGCTCGTCGAGCATACTAGTCGTCCTCCTGCTCCTCCTCCACCTCCGTCCTCCTCTGACGCACGACGCTGCCGACGCTCGAGTCTCCGAGAGGCGCCGCCCTGGCTTCCTCCCCTACTCCTCCTCCGCCGTCTGCCCCTCCCTCCTCATCACTCCCGCCTCTCTCCTCCTCTTTCCTCCTTCTCCCTCCTCCCTCCTGCTCGTCCTGCCCCGTCTCCCCCTCCTCACTCCTCCCTCCTCGCCCTCCTCGTCCTCCCACTCATCCCTCCTGCCTCCCCCGTCGTATCCACCCTGCCCCATCACAGGGAGCCCACGAAGGACGTACGCGCCCACCCACGTGCATGAACACGGCCCCCCCATCTGCGAGACCGGCCGCGTGCTACGAACCTTGACGCACTGCGCACTCTCGAAACCAACGTGGCTTCATGTAAGTGCATGTCCTCTGGTCGCTCCTGACATCCCGCCCCCTCCCTCCTCCCTTAGGGGAACAAAAAGTCACATAAACATAAAAACTCGGAGATCCGCGCTGATTTCTCGGATCGGCGCTGGACTCCCCTCCCTGGCGCGCGGAGCGCGCCAGGGGCAGCGCCAGAGGCGCCGCCAGGGGGCCCCAGCGCCGATCCGAGAAATCCGCGCGGACCTCTGAGTTTTTATGTTTATGCCACTTTTTGTTCCCCTATCCCTCTTGCTCGTCCTACCCCGTCTCCCCCCGCCTCCTCGCATCCCCCCCGCCAGGAACGCGCGGGGGTGGCGGCCGCCTTGCTCTCGAGGAGCCAGATGAGCTCCCTCTTGGACTGCTGCAGCCCCAGGAGCGTCACGAAGCGGCCCTCGCAGGCAGCCTCCCGCGCGTGCGCGCCCGCCGGGCCCTTTTGCTAGGTCGGGCACGTTCTCCTACAGGCGGGTCTTGTGAGAACAGCAGGGAGTAGTCGTCAGAAGAGCATGACGAGTCGTCTCAGACAATCTTTACGGCTCCTGAATATTCCTCCCGTAGAGGGGCATGCTCGACTTACGGCTCGTGGTGGTGTGGGGGGGGTCTGGCCGCACCCGGGCAAGACTCCCGCCCACTTCCAAGGCGAAACCAATACAAAACCAACAGCTCGGACTGGGATGCATTCGGGATCTCTGAAACTTGATGTTTTTCCGCTCCGCTCATGTCCGTTCCTGGGTCGGAGATCGACGACGCCTCGGGAGACGCCAACACGGTGCGGTGCAGTCATGCCGCCCGCGGAGCAAACGCGTGTGATATGTGCCCAGTCTACGACGAAACCAGGGCCAGAACAACATCGGACCAGGATAAGTCGAACATCTCTGAGATTCGGCGGTTCTGGAGGACGTATCGGGCGCCGCGGCCGCTCCACAGCGATCTGGAACGCTCTAAAAGCGCACCAGCACGTTCTCGACCGAAACATCCCAATCCTGGGCCCGCCCGATCTTCACAGGCCTGAGCGAGGAAGAGGAGGAGGATGAGGTGGAGGAGGAGGAGGAGGAGGAGGAGGAGGAGGAGGAGGAGGAGGAGGAGGAGGAGGAATGGAGGAAGGAGGAGGAGTGAGGAGGAGGAGCAGAGGGGGAGGAGGAGAAAGAGGAGGTAGGAGGGAGGAGGAGGAGGAGGGAGGTAGGATGGAGGAGGAGGAGGAGGAGGAGGAGGAGGAGGAGGAGGAGGAGAAGGGGAGGAGGAGAGGAGGAGGAGGAGGAGGAGGGGAGGAGGAGGAGGGGAAGAGGGAGGGGAGGAGGAGGTAGGAGGGGGTGGGAGATAGGAGGAGGGAGGAGGAGAGGAGGAGGAGGAGGAGGGAGTGAGTGGAGAGAGGAGGAGAAGAAGAGCAATGAGGAGGAGGTGGAGGAGAGGAGGAGGAGCGAGGTGGGAGGAGGAGGAGGAGGAGGAGGAGGAGGAGGAGTGAGGAGGAGGAGGAGGGGGGAGGGAGGAGGAGGAGAGAGGCAGGAGAGGAGGAGGATGAGGAGGAGAAGGGAATAGGGAGGAGGGAGAGGGGAGGAGGCGAGAGGGTGAGGGGAGGGGAGGAGGGAGGTGGAGGAAGAGGGAGGAGGAAAGGAGGAGGAGGAGGAGGTGGAGGAGGAGGTAGGAGGAGGTGGAGGAGGAGGAGGAGGAGGAGGAGGAGGAGGAGGAGGAGGAGAAGAAGGGGAGGAGGAGAGGAGAAGAAGCAGGAGGAGGAGGGAAGGAGGAGGAGGAGGAGGAGGAGGAGGAGGAGGAGGAGGAGGATGTGCTCCCTGCAGGATACGTCTCCGACCGCCACGTCGAGATGTGTGTCCATGGGGGACCGTCAGTGCCTGTGCATGAATGCCATGCCGATCCTGGCCCCTCCCGACAGCAGCCAGGTGGAATTCTACGCAGCTGCTGTTATCACGCAGGCAGCTTCACAACGCTGTGCCCCCACGCCTCCTGGGGATGCATGGCTGGAGGCGTCAGTTGCCCATCTATATGCCCCGCTCGATTTGTATTGCGAGTCGGGTTGATGTTGGCCATTGCTGCTCTCCTCGTCCTCCGCTATACTTGCCGCCCATCTCACCGCTGACGTATGCATGCATGGACACCTCAGACATTGGTCCCTCAGGGCTGCGGGAAGAAAAGGAGGAGGAGGAGGAGGAGGAGGAGGAGGAGGAGGAGGAGGAGGAGGAGGAGGAGGAGGAGGGCGGAAGAGGAGGAGGAGGAGGAGGAGGAGGAGGAAGGCTGCCGGAGGAGGAAGAGGAAGCGGAGGAGAGAGGAAACAGGAGGAAGAGGGGGAGGCGGAGGCCCCCCGCGGAGGAAAAGAGGAGGGGAGGAAGCGGTGTGAGGAGGAGGAGGGGAGGAGGAGGAGGAGGAGCGGAGAGGAGAGGGGAGGAGGGAGGAGGAGGAAGAGGAGGAGGAGGAGGAGGAGGAGGGGAGGAGAGGAGGGGAGGAGGAGGAGGTGGAGATATGGAGGATGAGGAGGAGGAGGGGAGGAGGAGGAGGAGGGGAGAAAGGAGGAGGAGGAGGAATGAGAGGAGGAGAGGAGGAGAGGAGGAAGGCGGAGGAGGAAGGAGGAGGAGGAGGAGGGAGGAGAAGGAGGAGGTGAAGAGGGGCGGAGGAGGAGGAGGAGGAGGGAGGAGGGGAGGGGGAGGAGGAGGAGAAGGAACAGGAGGAGGAGGAGGAAGAGGAGGAGGAGGAGGAAAAGGAGGAGGAAGAGGTGGTGGTTGGAGGAGGTTGGAGGTGGAGGAGGAGGAGGTGGAAGAGGATGAGGCGGAGAGGAGGAGGAGGAGGAGGAGGAGGAGGAGGAGGAGGAGTAAGGATGGAGGAGGAAGAGGAGGAGGCGAGGAGGAGGAAAGGGAAGCGAGAGGAGGGGGAACAGGAGGAAGAGGCGGACGCGAGGCGCACGCGGTGGAAGGGGAGGAGGATGAAGCGGAGGAGGAGGAGGAGGAGGAGGAGGAGGATGAGGCAGGAGGAGGAGGAGGAGGATAAGGAGGATGAGTGAGGATGAGGAGAAGGGGCAGGAGGAGGAGGGAAGGAGGAGGGAGGTAGGAGGGGAGGGAGGCGGGATGATAAGGAGGAAGGAGGATGAGGATGGGATGAGGATGAGGATGAGGATGAGGATGATGATGATGATGATGATGGGAGGAGGAGGAAGGAGGAGGAGGAGGAGGAGGAGGAGGAGGAGGAGGAGGAGGAGGAGGAGGGGGACCAGTGGAAACCCAAGAAACATCAACGATATTGGGATTAACCTTCCCTCCAAGCTCCCACTTTATAGCCCCCATACAACGGAGAGAGCGCGTTTCACGGGCGCTTGCCTGGGGAACATTCGGCGGCGCGTTTCGAACCGGGGGGTGGGCTCCCCCCCCAACATTCGGCGCCGTCGATCAAAACCAAGGGGACTCCCCTCCCTTCCCCCCCCCTCCCGAACCCCCCCCCTCTCCCGAGGGGCGGGGGGGGTGTTTGAACCCCCCTCTCTCCCCTCCCAGGGGGGGTGGTTTGAATCCCCCCCCCATCTCGGCGCTGGCGCCGGCGCTGGCGGCCGCCAGCAGCGCCCGCGGCGGGGACGCAGCGACGATGACCAGAGGCAGCCCAGAGCGCCGCGCCGGCGCCGGCGCTGGCGGCGGCCAGCAGCGCCGGCGCTGGCGCCGGCGACGGCGCCGGCCACCACCACCACCACCACCACCATCACCACCACAAACCACCACACAACCACCACCACCACAGCCACCACCACCACCACCACAACCACCACCACAACTCACCGTCACCACCACCACCACACAAACCCACCACCACACCACCACCACCACCACCACAATCTACCACACCACCACCACCACCGCCACAACCACCACAACTACCAGCAGCACAACCCACCACCACCACCACAAACCACCACACCACCACCACCACCACCACCGTCACCACCACGACCACAACAAACGTCCACAAACCACCGCCACCACCACAACCCACCACCACCACCACCACCACAAACCACCACACCACCACACCACCACCACAAACCACCACAACCACCACCACCACCACAACACACCATCACCACCACCACCACAATAACCGCCACCACTATCACCACCACCACCGCATTCGACCACAACACCACCACACCGCCACAAACCACCACCAGTACCAGCAGCACAACCCACCACCACCCACCACCACAAACCACCACACCACCACCACCACCACCACCACACCACACCACCACCACCACACCACCACCACACACACACCACCACCACCACCACCACCAACACCACCTCCACAAACCACCGCCGCAACCACAACCCTCCACCACCACCACAAACCACCACCACAAACCACCACCACACCACCACCACCACCACCACTACAACCCACCACCAGCACCACAAACCGTCACCACACCACCACCACACCATCACCACCACCAGCACCACCCACCGCCACAACCACCACCACCACAACAAACCACCACACCACCACCACCACAACCACCACCACAGCCACCACCACCACCACAACCCACCACCACTACCACCACCGTCGTCCTCGTCGACGCTCCCCGCCACCGCCGCCCGCCGCTGCAGGCGCCAGCGCCGGCCCAGAAATTGAAATCGTGGTCCCCGCCGCCGTCGCCAGCCGCCGCCGACACAAGCGCCGGCCCGAGGAGAGGGGAAGCAGAGGAGGGAATGGGGGGGGTTCGAACCCCCCCTCCCCCTCTATCCAGGGGGGGGGGTCTGGTTTCACCCCCCCCCGTCCAAGCGACCAATAAACGAACGCGCTCTTTCATACAACGGTTCATTTCCATTGAAGGCACTGCTTCGTTGGAAGACAACGGTTTGAAGATCCTGAAGCGTGCCGGGATTTCAACGCCGTGTATCAACCTGACTGCCGCGTCTTTGCGATCCAGAATTGTGCCAGAACGCCGTTTCTGGGACTTCAACACAGCGAATCAACATAACTGTTGCGCACGCATCATCCTGAATCCTTTCAAAACACCAATTCTGGTACGTTGATCATGGGGAGCAATACAACTCTTGGACATTTTCTTAAAAACGGATGTGCGCGGCGCTAAAGCGAGAGCCACATTTTGAAAACCACCCGCCCTCAATCCGTGAACCTCTTGCCAATTTTAACAACGGGTGTGCGCGGCGCTGAGGCGAGAACCGCATTTTGAAAACGACCCGCCCTCAATCCGTGAAGCTCTTGCACATTATTAAAACGAATGTGCGCGGCGCTGAGGCGAAGACCACATTTTGAGAACGACCCGCCTTCAATCCGTGAAACTTCTGCAATTTTTAAATCGAATGTGCGCGGCCCTAACGCGAGAACCACATTTTGAAAACGACCCGCCCTCAATCCGTGAAGTTCTTGCATTTTTTTTTGAATCGAATGTGCGCGGCGCTAAGGCGAGAGCCGCATCGTGAAAACCACCCGCCCTCAATCCGTGAAGCCGTTGCCACTTTTTAAGCTTCAGAGTCATACGTGGTGAGGAAGTCTCAGGCGAAACGCCCGGCCCACCCTAAAAACTGGGCTCGGGGTGCGACATGGAGGAGTTATCTATAAGGAGAAAGAATGGAGGAGGATGAAGAAGAGGAGGAGAAGGAGAACGAGAAGGAGGAGGAGGAGGAGGAGGAGGAGGAGGAAGAGGAGGAGGAGGAGGAGGAGGAGGAGGAGGAGGAGGAGGAGGCCGGGGATAAGGAGGACGAGGAGAGGACGAGGACGAGGACGAGGTGGACGTGGAGGAGGAGGAGGAGGAGAGGAGGAGGAGGAGGAGGAGGAGGACGAGGAGAAGGAGAAGGAGGAGGAGGAGGGAGGAGAGGAGGAGGAGGAGGAGGAGGAGGAGGATTTTTTGACATCCGCAGCCAAGGGCCCCACACTGTGGGGCGGCCACGCCCAGGGACCCTGCGGCGCCGCGCGCACGCGCGGGCCGGGCCGGCCGAGCGGAACGGGGAAAACGCAAGCCGCGGCAGTCGGGCTGCTGAGGACAGCAAACCCGACCGCCGCGGCAACGACGACGACGCCACGGAGAGGACGAGCGGCCAAGCACGACCCCGACACGGCGAGCCCGGGGGGGGGTGCACCCGACCGTGCAGGGGACTGCGCGCCCAGCGACCCCCCAGGGGGAAGGGGGTCGCGCTTTGGCGGCCATCCCCACCGAGAGCGGGGGCTTTTCGCCCCTCGGGCCCAGCGCTCCCCGCCTGCGCTAGGAGGACCCTGGGCTCCCGCCCCCGCCCCCAACGAATGAGGCCCCCTCTGGGCGGAGGAGGAGGAGGAGGAGGAGGAGGAGGAGGAGGAGGAGGAGGAGGAGGAGGAGGAGGAGGAGGAGGAGGAGGAGGAGGAGGAGGAAGGAGGAGGAGGAGGAGGAGGGAGGAGGAGGAGAGGAGACATAGACTTAGACATCCCTTGGCGAAAAAGAAACAAGCTGTGCTACCAGAGCTTCGAAATCTCTCGCTGGGCGGCGTGACGGCCAGAGCAGAAGACGCTCTACTCTGGCGCAGACAGCGACTGATATTTACAAACGTACGGCGCCGCGCGGGCGCTGGCAGGAGCACTACACGGGCCCCCCAGCAACCCAGCGGGAAAACGTTAGCGCTGGAGGAGGAGGAGGAGGAGGAGGAGGAGGAGGAGGAGGAGGAGGAGGAGGAGGAGGAGGAGGAGGAGGAGGAGGAGGGGGAGGAGGAGGAGGAGGAGGAGGAGGAGGAGGGAGGAGGAGGAGGAGGAGGAAGGAGGAGGAGGAGGAGGAGGAGGAGGAGGAGGAGCAGGATGAGGAGGCCCGCCCGCCTTCTTGCCCCGGGCCTTCCCCTGCTCCTCGGGCTCGACGCTGACCTCGCCACGGGCGGCGCGCTCGGGGCCGCCCCTCGGCTGGCCGAGGGGGGAAGCGGCCGGGCGCCCCGGCAGAAGTTCGCGCGGCGCTTCGGCACCTCGGCAGCGCGCGCCGAGGGGGGGAGCGGGAAGGATCGGCTACACGCAAGAGCGACCCTGGGTAAGAGTGACCTTTGGTGCGCGGCTTCTTGGGGCCGCGAGTGGGGGCAAAAATAGGCGCGCAAGCAGCTGCTGCCGCTTCTCGCTCGGCCGCCTGGGGGCCCATCTGTGCTCGCCCCAGAGGTCACTCCGGCGAAAGGTCACTCTTGCGCTCAGTCGGGGAGGAGTGGGGAAGACTTCCTGGAAGGAGGGGAGGCCAGCGCCTTCCAAGAAGCAGGGGTCCTTCCCTGGCCATCGCTCGGACGTCCATTCCCTGTGCTTTTCTCGGTTTCGTGCGTGGCCTTTTCGCCAACTGATCAAGGATGCTCCTCGATGGTCCTCGCCGAAGGAAAAATGCACACGTCCAAGCGATGCCAAGTGGATTCCAATAAGCCTGCCCCCCTCCCCCTGTCCCCCTCTGCGCGTGGCCGAGCTTCGGCAGCTCGGCGGCGCGCGCCGATGGGGGAAAGGTAGACCCCCTCGCGTCGTGAACAGAAACCGCCTCAAGGACGACGCCGCCTGGTCTCCGCGCGCGTGGCCGCCCGTCGGCGTCGGTCGCCGCCGTCCGTCGCCGCTGCTGCTAATGGGCGCGTTTGCGTGGTCGCCGAGCTTGTGGCCGCCCGTCGCCGCCGTCCGTCGCCGCCGTCCGTCGCCGCCGCCGCTGGGCCTGCTTGCCTGGTCGCCGCGCGCTAGGCCGCCCGTCGCCGCCGTCCGTCGCCCCTGGTACTGAGACTCGTAGATGGCACCGCATAGCTTACACCACATCGATAGCACCGCGTAGATTTGACCAAGTAGGCTCCTCAACGTAGCCTTGCAACACTGCGTTAACAACTCACCACACTGCAACCTTGCAAGACCAGGGTTTTTTGTTGTCATTTTCGGCCTCTGGGGGTCCTCGCCAGGCCCTGGGACCGTCAGGAGACGACTCAGGACGCAAGGCCAGTCCTGGGGACCTGGTCGATGCGCCTGGAGGCCCACGCTGTGAAGAAACAGCGACGTCGGGGGTCTGGGGAGGCAGAGGGGGCGGGCCTTATCAGAAGGCCCTCTGAAAAGCTTTCTACCCTGAGATCCTGGCGTTCCTACCTTTTTTTCAATGGGCATTTTCGCATGGTTTCGGGTCCTGAAACCCTTACATATTGATGCGGCTCGAGAAATGCAGCAGGAAGATCGGGTCTGGAGCTCTGGTCATGATTCTTCTGCGATGTTGCAACTTTTCGCCACTGTACGTCAGATCCCAGGGTCTCGGAAGGCCTCCGGCCTTCTGAGAATCTTTCCAGGCCAACTCCGAAGTCACAGGGGGCCTCTCGGAAGCCCCGCCGCCTGTCGAGAAGACCTGTCCCCTCTCGCTCCCCACTCTGGGGAAACCACAAGATACCGATGCCGCCACTCCCTTACCTCTCCCGGGGCGCGCTCTGACCAAGACTTCGAGGCGCATCCAGCGGTCGCGGTGAGAGGGCCTCCCAGGAGCCCCGGACAGGTGAGAACGCAGGAAAGGTCGCGGCATGGCTACCTCTCTTCCTCCTCTCACCCTGCATGCCGTCGCTCGGACGTCCAGTCCATGTCCCGTGCATGTTTCGGTTTCGTTTTTTTTTTTTTTTTTTTTTTTTTTTTTTTTTTTTTTTTTTTTTTTTTTTTTTTTTTTTTTTGGTATTAAAAACATGTTTTTTTTTGCTCGATGGTTCAGGATGGGTCCTCGAGGAGGAGGAGAAGGAGAGGAGAAGGAGAAGGAGGAGGAGGAGGGAGGAGGAGAGGAGGAGGAGGAGGAGGAGGAGGAGGAGGAGGGGTTCTCGCCGAGAAAAACATGCACACTTCCGAGCGATGCCAAGCCCTCGGCCCTCGGCGCGCCGCCAAGCCCTTCTCGGGGGGCGACGTGTGGCACGCTCCGATCTGACCCACGTTCGCCACCCTTCTGCCGAGGCCCGCCTCCCCTGGCTTGCTCCTTCCTCTGCTTAGGATCCTGCTTCTTCCCCTTCCCCTTCCCCTCCTCCTCCTCCTCTCCTCCTCCTCCTCCTCCTCGTTCGCCTCCCCTCCCTAGCCGCTGCAGCATCCTGCTTTCTCGACCCGCCCCCCCCCCCCCCCCCCGCCCAGGACCACGTCGCCGTGGCCCACTTCCCAGGGTGACCGACCTCCTTCCCTTCCTCGTTGTCGCCACGGGCGCGCGGCGTTTTCCTCCTTGCTGCTCCTTCTCCTCCCTCCCCCTTCTCTCCCTCCCCTCCCCTCCCTTCCCCTCCTCGCCTCTTCTCGTCTCTTCGCCTTCGCCCACCCGCCCCCTCTTCCTCCCTTCCTTCGCTCCTCCCTCCTCCCTCCTCCTCCGCCTCTTCCTCCCTGCTCCTCCTCTTCCTCCTCCTCCTCCTCCTCCTCCTCCTCTGTTTCACTAGCTTGTCCCACGACCATTCACAAACAGTAAGAGACAAAAAAACTTGAATGCGATCTGCCCTGGGGCTCTGGTCTGGGGCGTGCCGCAAGGGGCTGGATTCGCGTTGCCGCCTCGGCGCGCGTCGTCGCCGCATCCCCTCCCCATGTCCCCCGCCCGCTCCTCGGACGCAATGCAAGCTATGACTGCTCATGCATTCTGGTACCGGGGAGGGGGAGGACGAGGTGTATCATGGTGACAAATTGCTTGCCTTGAAGCACTCCTGTGCCCAATCAGCAGTCGAACGACATCGATGCCTGCGCTCTTGGAGGGGCATAGCAGTGAAGAGAACAGCTGGCAAGTAACGACAACATGTTACAGCAACGCGCGACTGATAAGCATGATGCCAGGAAGCCACATTCAATAACTCTGAGGTGCACCAGGAAGCCACATTCAGCAGTGTACCAACCAATGCTGCAAATAACAACCCGAGGCTGAAATTTAAACAAGATCCAATCACAACGACATACCTGCGAAGAAACAGCATCGACAACCGTCACTGCTGCTGGCATTTTTCGCCTCCTGCGGGGGTCCAATGCCAGGGATGGGGGCACCAGGCCGAACTCCTTGGTCTCGTACGCGAAGACGGCCGTGAACATCCAGAAACAGGCGACGATTCCTGCTGTCTGGCAAACCCGCCAGCCTCCTTGAGAACCGAGGGCTCGTATCGGCACCAACCTCAGCTGCAACGAATTCAGGAATATCGTCAGGATGGCCAGCCCCTTGCCCTGGGAGGGGGTGCAACCAGACCCTGGCGATAGACTCCCTGGAACTCCACCACCTGGCACTTGTGCAGCTGGATTCGGCGACCAGCTCGGGAGAAGTATTCTCCTGTGCCTCTACCCCGATCGTGTGCATGTAGGCGGTCTCGCGGTAGTCAGCCGCCTGCATGAGGATCTTCTCGTCGCCAACGTTGTCCAAGCCTTTGCCAGGACCGCCTCCTCGACTGTCTTTGAGCGAAGGACCAGTCGCCAAAACAAGCCTCCCTGGCTGAGGCCCTGCGGTCCCGTCGCTGCTGTCGAAGAGCACCTCTGCGATCGGCTCCCGGTCTGAAAAAGGGTTCCCACACCACGAACCAGCGGCAGGCGCCACGGGGTACTCGCCCTGAGTTTCCTGCCCGAAGGTCGTGTCACTTCATGGCCCGATTCGCCACGACCGTCTAACCTGGGCCCCGCCTGGGCTTGGCGTGACATGCGCGCTGGGGCCATGGACAGCTGGTCCGTGACGATCTTCGCGTGCAGAGCGACGTTCCTACGGAGCCGATCGAGCCAGCTGGGCTGCCTCCCCGCCACCAGCGCAGAGAGAGCGGGGAGCAGCCCGCATACACGGTTGGCGATCTCAGCGTCACCAGTGAGCGTCTCGAGCACCTGGTGCAGCTGCTCGATCTCTGCTTCACGAAGGGCGACCTCCCCTTCTGAAGCCTGCGGAACAGCCTATCAGCTGAGGCCTTTGCGCCAGCCGCGCCACGACGAGAAGTCGCCGCATAGTCCCCGCGTGGGACAGCGGCGTCCCGAGCCATCCCTCGCGCGCAAGCCTGCTTGAGCGCGAACTGACTTGAGCCAAAATGGCTACGGCTCCTCCTCCTCCTTTCCTTCCCGCAGCCCTAGGGGACCAATGTCTGAGGTGTCCACGCATGCATACGTCAGCGGTGAGATAGGCGGCAAGTGTAGCGGTGGACGAGGAGAGCAGCAATGGCCAGCATCAACCCGACTCGCAATACAAATCGAGCGGGGCGTACAGATGGGCAACTGACGCCTCCAGCCATGCATCCCCAGGAGGCGTGGGGGCACAGCGTTGTGAGGCTGCCTGCGTGATGACAGCAGCTGCGTAGACTTCGATCTGGCTGCTGTCAGTAGGGGCCATGATCGGCATGGCATTCATGCACAGGCACTGACGGTCCCCCATGGGCTCACATCTCGACGTGACCGTCGGGGACGTATCTTGCAGGGAACATAGGAACCTGACCTCGGGGACCTTCCACATGCAGGGAAGATTGGCTTGCGGAGCAGATGGGTTTAGAAAGAGCAACACCGCCAGGCCCGAGGACGCCGCGCACAGCGCGAGCGTCAGTGCCGCCCTCAAACCGGCACTGTCGAGCTCCAGCTGCTTCCACTCCGAGGGCGACCTGGCAGAAATTCCCCAAGGCTCATCGCAACTCCTTAAAGGCCTGCACTCACCGCCCTTGACTTTGCAGCGGGGGGTGGGGTCCCACGAGGAAAGGAAGAAATCCGCCACGAGTCCAATGACACGCCCAGCAAGAATGAGATCATTAATGAGCGATAGCTCCTTATGGAGTCCCTCAGTGGAATCCTGAAAAAGCTCGCGAATATTAATAGACAAAACAAAAACATTCATGCCCACCATGGCACTGGACTTCTCCGCTCTGTCCTGGATGTCACCTTGACTCCTGGGAGCTGCACGGAGGATCACTATGTATTTAGTGCCAGGGGCCACAGGCATGTGGACCTCTGCCTGCGTGGGCATCTCTTCCTGGATGCATACTGGTTGGCACGAAATTCTCGGCATGCAAGTGGGAAGGCCCTTGGAGGCAGCCGCTCCCCTCAGCCTAGGTCCCATCGTGAGGACAGGCGGGAGCTGCGCGGACTCCGCATAGTGGCCTTTCTCGCGAAGCGTGCGTGCTAGCTCCGCGTCCTCCGCCTTAGCCGCCATCAGTTGTTCGGGGCTCATCGGTGCGATGACGGCCATAAGGTCCGCCAGGCACTTCGATGAGCCATGCCGAACGTGTTTAAGCAATCTAAGATGCGTGTGGAAGTTGAGACCGCAAGCCATGCACACAGTGCCTGAGGCGTAACTGGGGGCGGGATCTAGGTGGGGGTGGCACTTCGAGCGATGGGAGGCCCAAGCGCCCTTTGTGGCCAACACCGCCCCACAGTCCAAGCAGGGATACAAGGCGAGAACCGACGGCGGACGCAGAAACGACGGGAGCGCAAGACCCTTTGTGATGCAACACTTTCGCCACCCGTCTTTGAATTCTTCATGGCGCTGATCGTCCAAAAATTTGGCCCTGGCAGCCGATTCAGCTTGCTTGCAAATTCGCTTCCAGAACTTGTTGCTGCTAGACCTCAGGAGCCACAGCCACCAAGCATCCTCCTCCCCCTCCTCCTCCTCCTCCTCCTCCTCCTCCTCCTCCTCATCCTCCCCCACATCCTCCTCCTCCTCCTCCTCCTCCTCCTCCTCATCCTCCTCCCCCATTCCAATTCCTTGTGAATAACTCCTCCCTGTCGCACCCCGAAGCCAGTCCGGTCGGCGGGCCAGGCGTTTCGCCTGATAGCTCCTTACCATTTACGAGAGCCTGAGGCTCAACAGCGGGCAACCTATTCATAGATGGAGGGCGGGTGGTTTTCAACATGTGGCAGTCGCCTCAGCACCGCGGGCATTCGTTTCAAATATGTGTAATGTTTTAACGGATTGAGGGCGGTTCCTTTTGAACATGTGGCCCTCGCGCATAGCGCTGCGCACGTTCGTTTTCAACATCCGCAGCAGTGTCACACATGGAAGGCGGGTGGTTTTCAACATGTGGCTTTCGCCTTAGCGCCGCGCGCATTCGTTTTATAAGAGTTTCGCACATGGAGGGCGGGTGGTTTTCAAAATGTGGCTTTCGCCTTAGCACCGCGCACACTAGCTTCAAACATGTGCAATACTTTCACGGATTGAGGGCGGTTCCTTTTGAGCATGTTGCCCTCGCGCATAGCGCCGCGCACAAGTGTTTTCAACACCTGCAACAGTGTCACACATATGGAGGGCTGGTGGTTTTCAAAATGTGGCTTTCGCCTTAGCGCCGCGCACATTCGTTTTATAAGAGTTTCGCACATGGAGGGCGGGTGGTTTTCAAAATGTGGCTCTCGCCTTAGAGCTGCGCGCGCTCGTTTGTAAACTTTGCAAACGCCTCATTGGTTCTCATGGTTCGCGTACCGGAATGGTGTTTTGGAGCGGTTCAGAGTTGCCTGGGCGCAACAATTACGCTGATTCGCGGTGATGAGGTCACCCGAGAATTGTGCTCTGGCGCGATTCAGGGTCGCCAAAACGCAACACACACATTGATTCGCGGCGTTGAAATCCCGAACACGGAAATTTGGCACGCTTCAGGATCTTCAAGCGGTTGTCTCCCAGCGGGGCACTTTCCCCCAGTGGAAATGCATCCTTGTAGGGGCCTGTGAAGAGGGATCCTGGAAGGAGGGTCTATTCCAACATCGTTGATGCGCCTTGGATTTGCACTGGTCCTCCTCCTCCACCTCCTTCTCCTTCGCCCTCCTCCTCCTTTTCCTTCTTCCTCCCCCTTTCCGTCCTCATCCTCCTGCATCCCTCTTCCTCCTCTTCTCCCCTCCTCCTTCTCCTCCTTCGCTCTCCATTTCTTTTCCTTATAAATAACTCCTCCCTGTCGCACCCCGAGGCCATTCGGAAGGGCGGGCCAAGCGTTTCGCCTAAGACTTCCTTGCCACTTATGATCCTGAGTCTTAGAAGCTGACAGAAGCTTCACACATGGAGCGCGGGCCGCTTCCAAAACGTGCCTCTCGCCTTAGCACTGCGCGCAGTCGTCTTAAATACGTGCGCCAATTTCGCGACTTGAGGACGGGCGGCTTTCAAAATGTGGCTCTCGCCTGTGAGAATGTGCGAAGGTTTCGCGGATTGGGGGGGGGGTGCTTTCCAAAATGTGGCTCTAGCCTTGTTGCGAGCATTCGCCGTACGACTGTGCAACAGCTTCACAGATGGAGGGCGGGTGGTTTTCAAAATGTGACTGTCGCCTCAGCGCCGCGCACAGTCGTCGTACACGTTTGCAAAAACTTCACGGATTGAGGGCGGTTCTTTTTCAAAATGTGGCTCTCACTTCAGCGCCGCGCGCACTTTTCTCACAAACTTGCAAACGTTGGAAGAATAACATGGTTAGCGTGCCATGAATGGTGTTTGGAACGATTCAGGATTGTCCGGGCGCAGCAATAACGTTGATTCGCGGTGATGAAGCCAGAGGAACGGTGTTCCTGTACGATTCAATATCGTCAAGACGGAACAGTCAGGTTGATTCGTGGCGTAAACCTCGAACATGGAGTTTTAGCACGCTTCAGGATCTTCAAACAGTTGTCTCCCAACGGGGGCACTTCGCTCAATGGATATGAACCCTTGTAGTGGCCTGTGAAAAAGGAGCTCGGAGGGAGTTTTGTTTGCTGTTGTTTCCCCCCGTTTTTTTTTTTTTTTTTTTTTTTTTTTTTTTTTTTTTTTTTTTTTTTTTTTTTTTTTTTTTTTTTTTTTATATATATATATATATATATTCAAAAAACATCGTTGATGAGTCTTGGATTTGCAATGGTCCTCCTCCTTTTTCTCCGCGTCCTCCTCCTCCTCCGTCTTGTCCTCGTCCTTGTTCTCCGCCCCCCTCCTTCTCCTCCTTCGCCATCTGCTCCTCCGCGTCCTCCTCTGTCTCTCTCGCAACGCTATGCGAGCGATCCCTTGTCCGCGGCGCGCGCCGAGCAGCGCCCCGGAGGGGGCGACCGCCGCGCGCGACTCGGCCCCCGCGGGTAGCCACACCAGCTGGACGTGTCCGTTTCGAGGGAAGCGGAAGAGAAGGAGGCCGCCTGACCTTCCTGCATGATAAATTCATGCATCAATTTATGCATGAACTCATCGCTGTTTTTACTACAAAATCCATGCATTTTTAATATGTGATCCGCACGCGGAGCATGTATTAAAAACGGCACTGTACATCCCGTGGTGCATGGAGGAAAGGGGGTTCGGGTGGAGTGCGGGGAGGGGTCCGCGACAAAAATTGTCCTAGTCGGTCGGGGCGTGGGTCTCCAGGCCGCACGAGGGGCAGCTCTTGGAGCTGTCGTAGGCGCGCGTGTAGCGTCCTCTTTCTCGTCGTAACGCTCCTCCTCCTCCTCCTCCTCCTCCTCCTCCTCCTCCTCCTCCTCATTGCGCCCCTCTTCGAGTCTGGGCTCGACCTGGCGGGGCGGCTTCTTCAGGCAGCTGCGAAGGGGAGGCGTCCATTGCGTCTTGTTGATGACCTCGTTGTGGTAGTGGCGCCGCCCTTGCTTGTCCAGGTAGCTGGTCTAGCCCGGCGGCAAAAAGGCGAACTGTTGCGCCGCGCTGTCTGGCGGCGGGGGAGACCACTGCTTATGCTTCGTGACCCTTTGGCAGCAGTGCCTCTCGCCAGTCTTGTCCATCGCGCTAGCCCATTCGTCTGGGAGGTGGGGCGGGCCCAGCTGCTCGTACTCTGGGTCCTTCTCGCAGTCTGTGTTTCTCTCGCAGTCTGGATCCTTCTCGCGCTCGTCCTGCTGCTCGAACTTCGGGTCCTTCTCGCGCCCTGGGTCCTGCCTGACGTCCTGCTGCTCGTGCTCTGGGTCCTCATCGTGCTCTGGCTCCCCGAACTCGTCCTGCTGATCGTGTTCTGGACCCCTGTGCTCGTCCTAAAATTCGTGCTCAGGGTCCTTCTTGCGGTCGTGCTGCTGCTCGTACGCTGGGTCCTTCTCGCACTCTGGGTCCTTCTCGCGCTCGCGATCCTTCTCGCACTCGTCCTGCTGCTCGTACTCTGGCCGCTTCTCGCGCCCTGGGTTCTTCTTCTCGTCCTGCTGCTCGTGCTCTGAATATTTTTCGTACTCTGGATCCCCGTGCTCGTCCTGCTGCTCGCGCTCTGGGCCCGTCCCGCGCTCGTCCTGCTGTTCGTGCTCTGGGTCCTCCTCGGGCTCGTTGTGCTGCTTGTGCTCTGGGTCCTTCTCGCGCCTGGCCTCAGCTGTCTGCTCCGGTCTTCTCGGCCAGCCGTGGCGACGATGAGAGGGGTCCCTGGCGACCTAGCCCGAAGGGCTCGGTGGGGTGGGGGGGCCGCCGAGGGGGCCCGCTGGGGGGATAGGATACTCATCTTATCATGTTCTTGTGGGCCGGGACGGGGCGCCCAAAGGGGCAGGGCCCCCTGGCCCTCCTCAGCAGCACCCGCTCGCGGGGGCCGGTCTCTTGGTTGTTCATGGCGTTCTGGGACTGCTAGCTGCTCTTGATCCGCTCGTGGCAGCTGGTCCTGATCCGCTAGCGGTCGCTGAACCTCTGCCGGTTCTTCACGCCCTCGTGGCCAGTGGGTGCGGCTCGCGATGGCGCGGCGCCTGGCGGGGAAAGCCTCGCGCGCCAACGCGGCTATCGACAGGGCGTCGTCTTTTTCCTTCAGGCCGCCCTCCTTGTAGTCCTCTTCGTCGTCTGCCTTCTCAGTCTCCCCCTCGTTTGCCTCTTCTGCCCTGCCCTGGGACGACACCACCTGCAAGTAGGCGCCCTTCCCCTCTTCCACACAAATGCCCAGCCAGCTTACTGTTCTGGTGCTCCTTGGAGTTCTTCTGGCAGTCAGAGGCCTTCGTTGATGTCGCAGCTGTCGTTCTTCTGGCGGGTCGTCGTGGCTCTCGTTGACGTCGTCGCTGTTGACCTCCGTCTCGTAACTATCGTTGTCCCAGGTGCCGGGCGCGGCGCCGTCGTCAGACCGCACATCCGAGGGAGGGGACACCACTCGGAGCCGGTCGCGCCGCTCCTCGCCTGGGGTGTAGCCGCCCTGCAAGCTGTCGGTGCCTTGGCGGCCGCAGCCGTGCTGGTGACCGGTCGAAGCGCTGGTGGTCGCTGTAGGTGTTCTGGTGGCCGTCGTAGCCGTCCTCGAAGTCGTCCTCGAAGCTGTCGTAGCCCAGGGGGCCGCCGTCGGCGACCTCGATGGTATTGCGCTTGCAGGCAGCAGGCCGCCTCTTGCGCAGCTCCTCGTGCCTTGCCGCCCCGTCGCGCCGAGGCACGAGCGCCGTCGCAACGGTGCGCCTGAACTCCTCGAAGCTCCTCGCGCAGCCCCGTCGGGGAGCGTACATCTGGCGCGGCGCCATGTGGCGCGCACCGGTCTCGGCCAGCCTGCTGTGGAGACCTGCCTGCTGGAAGTGTGCAGGGCAGTTTTTAATACTCATCGTTGTTTTCAGTACTAGACCCCTGCACTTCTAATACTCGATCCGCACGCGGAGCATGCATTAAAAACGGCACTGTACCCGCGGTACTCGAGCTCGTAGCCTTTGTTGACTGTTGGCGCCCGCGGCCTCTAGGCCACCATCGCGCGGCGGCGTGCCGTGCGGGCTGAGGCCAGCCCCCCCCCCCCCTCAGGGGCGATCGCCGGGGGATGCATTCCGCATGTGGCCTTCAGCCAAAATGTCTTACGGACCCGCGTCCTCTTTCTCCTCCTCCTCCTCCTCCTCCTCCTCCTCGTCCTCGTCCTCGTCCTTGTCCTCCTCCTCACCCTCCTCCTCCTCCTCCTTCGCCCTCTCTCGTCCTCCTCGTCCTCCTCCTCGTCGTCCTCCTCCTCCTCCTTCTCCCTCAGGGGGCCGATGCGGCCTGGTCCTCCCTGAGTCCAAGCAGGGAAGCCAGGAAGCCCAGCAGCTCGATGTCCGCGCCACCGTCCCTTCTCAGGGCGCCGACCTCTCAGAGGAGGCAGGGAGAAGGCAAGGAGGAGGAGGAAGAGGAGGAGGAGGAGGAAAAAAAGGAGGGTGAGGATGAGGAGGAGGAAGAAGAGGAGGCGGAGGCGGAGGAGGAGGATGAGGAGGAGACGGAGTAGCAGGAGGCGGATGACGATGAGGAGAAGGAAGATTAGCAGGAGGAGGATGAGGAGGAGGAGGATGAGGACGAGGAGGAGGAGGAGAACGAGGAGGAGGCGGAGGAGGAGGATGAGGCGGAGTATGATGATGCTGCTGATGATGACGATGATGATGATGATGATGATGATGATGATGATGATGATGATGATGAGGAAGAGGAGGAGGAGGAGGAGGAGGAGGAGGAGGAGGAGGAGGATAAGGAGGAAGAGGGGAGAAGGAGGAGGAGGAGGAGAAGGAGGAGGATGAGGCGGAGTATGATGATGATGCAGCTGCTGCTGCTGCTGCTGCTGCTGCTGCTGATGATGATGATGATGATGATGATGATGATGATGATGATGAGGAAGAGGAGGAGGAGAAGGAGGAGGAGGATGATAAGGAGGAAGAGGGGGACGGAGGAGGAGGATGAGGACGAGGAGGAGGAGGAGGAGGATAACGAGGAGGAGGCGGAGAAGGAGGAGGATGAGGCGGAGTATGATGATGATGCTGCTGCTGATGATGACGATGATGATGAGGAAGAGGAGGAGGAGGAGGAGGAGGAGGAGAGGAGGAGGAGGAGGAGGAGGAGGAGGAGGAGCGCAGGAGGAGGAGGAGGAGGAGGAGGAGGATAAGGAGGAAGAGGGGAGAAGGGAGGAGGAGGAGGAGAAGGAGGAGGAGGCGGAGGGGGACACTGATGATGTTGATGATGATGATGCTGATGCTGATGATGCTGATGATGCTGCTGATGATGAGGGGGAGGAAAAAGAAGAGGAGGCGGAGGAGGAGAAGGAGGAGGAAGAGAAGAAGGAGGAGGAGGAAGAGGAGACATATGAGGAGGCGGAGGAAGAAGATGAGGAGGAGGAGGAGAAGAAGGATGAGGAGGAACAGGAGGAGGCGGATGATGATGAGGAGGAGGACGAGGAGGAGGATGACGAGGAGGAGGAGGAGGCAGAGGATGAGGAGGAGGAACAGGAGGAGGATGATGATAATGATGCTGCTGATGATGATGAGGAGGAGGAAGCGGAGGATGGCTAGGAGGAGGATGAAGAGGGGAAGGAGGAGGATAAGGAGGATAAGGCTGAGGCGGATGAGGATACTGATGATGATGCTGATGCTCATGATGCTGATGATGCTGCTGCTGATGCTGCTGATGATGATGCTGCTGATGATGATGCTGATGATGATGCTGATGATGATGATGCTGATGCTGATGATGATGTTGTGGAGGATGAGGATAACGCCGGCCAGCCACAACTGGGGGAGCTGTGGTCCTTACCCCCCTGGTCCAACCCATCGCGCCGACGATCTTTCGATATTGGCGTCGCAGCAGATGAGCCCCCTCAAGGACGTTAATGACCATAGCTCCCCATGCGTGGGTCACCTAGGAAAGATGGGCAGCGAAGGGGAGGCAGGAGGGGTGATGGAGGCGGGGGGAAGACGGATGGCCGCAAGGAGAGCGATGGGGAGGGATACTCGAGGGATGAGGGATCAATGGGCGGGGATCGAGGCGGAAAGCAGGGGGATGGAGGAGACCGACGGCGACGAGGAGTAGGACCAGGAACAGAAACAGGAACACGCACAGGAACGGGAACGAGCATGACCAGGAGGAGGAGGAGTAGGAGGAGGAGGAGGAGGAGGAGGAGGAGGAGGAGGAGGAGGAAGAGGAGGAGGAGGAGGAGGAGGAGGAGGAGGAGGCGGAGGCGGAGGAAGGAGGAGGAGAGAGAGAAGGAGGAGGAGGAGGAAGAGGAGGAGAATAGGGAAGAAGAAGAGGAGGAGGAGGAGGGGAGGAGGAGGAGGCGGAGGAGAGGAGAGGAGCAGGAGGAGGCGGAGGAGGAGGAGGAGGAGGAGGAGGAGGAGGAGGAGGAGGAGGAAGAGGATGAGGAGGAGGAGGAGGAGGAGGAGGAGGAGGAGGAGGAGGAGGAGGAGGAGGAGGAGGAGGAGGTAGGGTGAGAGGGGAAGAGGAGGCGGGAGGGGGGATATAGGCGGGGGTTGCCTGGGATCAGAGCGGGGGGGCATACGCGCCATCGGGGCCACCCAATCCGACGCTGGAAATAACTGAAGCAACCATCCCACCCGACCCGCTGGGAAATATCGGAAGTAGGGTCCATCCAGTGAGCGCCGACGGAGGCATCGACCACCTGCCTCGAGGATGCTCCGCTCGAGCCCGCAGTCTCAGCCATTAGGGGGTTCGGTGCGGAAACATCTGCCACCCGCATGGTTCGGTTGCAACGGAGGCGACGAGCACCATCCCAGGGGCAACTCCGTCGGGACTGAAGTTGGAGGCACGGGCAGCCCCCCCGCAGGAAGTTCCACCCTCGCCTGCTTCGACCGCCTTCGGGCGGGGCCAGGCCGCGGAAGCATCGGCCGCCCTCTTCACAGAGGCTCCGCGCGCGAACGCGGCTAGCTCCTCACCCGCATTCGCGGGGGGGCCAACTTGGCAAATAACAGCACCATCTGGTGCCGTGCCCCGTCTCTGTGCCGCTCTGCTCGCCGCGCCAATCGCCACGTCGGCCCCTCCATTGCTGGTGGATGCGCATCGGCATGCAGACTGACCGGCGAGGGCCGCAGCACCCGCTGTCGACAGATATCAGTTGGCGCAAGAGACGCCGCGAAGGAAGGGCCGCTTTCCAGGGGGAGAACGACCTCGAACGACTCGCTGGTCGTCTGGCGGACTTCCGTGGTCAATCGAACGGGAAGGCTGGGCGCGTTGAACCGAACGACCACATGCTACCCAGGCCTGGCCTCCGCGCCCCCCAACGAGTCGGGTCCTGGATCGAAGCTCTGAACGAGGCCCCCCGCGAAAGACGGAGATGCTCGTCGCCTAACTTCGCCCCTTCTCTGATAACAAACCACTGAAGTGGGGGGCCTGACCGACATGGGCGCGCTGCGTGAGGTCGGGCCAAGATAAGAGCTGCGCGATTCTCTCAGACATTTCCACCGAAAGACAGAAGAGGCCCACTCGCATTGTTCTCACTGCGGCTGCCCAAATCCCCCACCCCTGGTTGCCAATCGCCGAGGACAAGGGCTCTGCAAACTGGAGCAACTCAGATTGCGACAGCAACCATGCGTCGTCATGCGGAAAACTCCTGCCTGAGAAAACCCGCCCGAGCTGCCATGGGGACTTCCTGCAAAACGCGATCGAAATTCCTGGTTCCCCAAAATGGCTTGGGCCTTCGAGCGAGCGGTGGACTTGAGACTGCTGGCTGTGTCGGCTGTATCGGCTCGGCCAACGCCCCCAAGAACGGGGGTGTCAACGCCATCGTCGGCCCCTGCTGAGCTCTCGGAGCCCCCCGAAGCCTCGGGCCCCCACCCGGGAGACGGACTCCCAGACGGCCCTCTCCTGCGCTTGGCCAGCAGACGGGCGGACATCTTCTGGGCCTCGGCTTCGTGCGGCCGAAGTCTCTTGCAGCTTTTGACTGCGCGCCCGCCGCCAAGTCCTTCTTGGCGCGCTCCAGCTCGCGCAGCTCGGATTCGTCGAGCTCGAGCTCGCTGGCGTCAAACCATGGGCCATCGACGATCGCGAGACCCGTGTCTTTGCCTTCGGCGAGCGCAGAAAGGTTGATTGCCAGCCTTGCAGCAGCGGGGGATGAACCCCCGGCCGCCGCCCGCGGAGCCTGCGACAGCTGCTTAGCACAAGCCGCCTCCTGTTCCTACTCGGCCTCGATCGCCGCGCGAAGCGCGCTCTCCTCTTCGGCCTTGACATCTCAGCCTCGAGCGCTCGTGGCAAGCAGGTCTCCAACCGTGCTTGGGCACGCCTGCGCGCCGCGACCTTGGTGGCGATTTCTCCGTGGAGCGAGGGGGCGCGAACGGGAACTTGCGACTGTGAAAATCGACCTCGCGCAGCTTGACCTCCATCTTCGTAAACTCCTCATATTCACCAAGCACTGCGCGTATCTGCTCGACCAGGCTGGGCGCCATTGCCTCCGACTCTGAGGAGTGTCCGCTCCCATTCCCTGAGTCCGTGTTCCAACGAACCCAGGTCTGCATCTCGAAACCCGAAGGAGCTGGGGGCGACTTGGGATTAACGCCTCTCGACCATGGGGGCAACAACGCCATTTCGTCCTGCTCGACTTTGCCGTGGTCGTAGTCCTTGCAGGCGGGCGGCCCGAGCGCCCGCCTGCGTTGAGGCCGCCTTTGGAGGGCTGTTTTGACCGCCAACGCCAGCGAACAACCGGGGCACCAAGCGATGGATTTGACATTCCACCGATACCGGCATGATTAGCATGACTAGCACACAACATACTGCTGCTTCGTCCCACCCATCCAAT